CGCCGCGGCGCTCAATCTGTCGCGAGGCCGCCCGCCGGCGCCCGCCCGCGCGCCATTCAGGCGCCAGGGTGATCCGGGGACTGTAAGACACACTCGCCCAGGACGGACGACGCGAGCGTCGCACTTGTTGTGGGATTGGGCGGTGCGCGGCTGGGCAAGGGCATCGCCCCGCTGCTGTGGTGGCGGGCGGGGGCGCGCCGTTCCCTTTCACTTTCCCCTTCCCTCCCCCGCGGCGCGCCGGCGCGGGCCTGCTGGCCTCACGCGTCGAGCCGCGCCTCCTCCGTCGCCGCGCCCTCCTTCTCTCTCTCTATCTCGCCCGCTCACACACATAAAGCCAACAACAGGCAAGCTCGCGTCGCGGCCGAAACGGACTGCGCAGCGCGGACATTTAGTCGAAACAGTAATTTGGGAAAAACGACCGAAACTGGCGGCGGTCGCGGTCGGCCGGTCGAGGCGAGCCGTCGTTTTCCGTGTGGGTGGGTGTACACGTCTCTGCCATGGCGGCGCCGCCGCGCGTCGCTCCACGCGTGTCTTTTCAAACCAGAACCAACCAGTCAACCCATGTCCTTGTCCGCGCACGCGATTCGAGCCGAGTCGAGCCTGCCGCCGCCGCGGCGAAGGAGCCGAGCCGGAGGCCGTCGAAGGTATAGGAGCGGGGCGTATATCCGCCTGAGCCTGCCGACGGCTGCGCTACCAGTCCGGCACGCTCCCAAGAACGCAAACAAAGTCGTCCCGCCCGCGATGGCCAACCCGCCCAGCCCGCCCCAGCCCGCCCATCGGCGGCCCTTTCCTCGGCGCTGCACGGGCCGCGCTGCGCTGCTGTGGGCGCTGTTCACTGACACGTCGCTCCCCATCCTCTCTCTCTCTCTCTCTCTCTCTCTCTCTCTCTCTCTCTCTCTCTCTCTCCCTTTTCCCTTCCCGGTCGGACTAGCGTGAGGGCGTGCTAGTTTTAGGGCCGCTCGAACAGGACCCGTTTGGGAGCAGGAGGGGGGGGGGGCGGTAGGAAGGGGCGTCCACAACGAGTGTGCCATATGGTGATCTCATTCTGAGATTGGAATCGTATTTCCGGTCGCTGCTCACCGCGCGCTCATCACGCGATCGGG